ATACACTGACATCTGGCAGAGCGCTGGTCGGCTGCACGTACTAGCACGACCTCCGTAGCAAACACAAAGCACCCGGCGATAACGCAACACGAACGTGGGAGAGACGAGACTTGGTCGAGACGGCCCCCGAACCCGTCCACATTTATAGCAAGGCCCGAACACTCGGAGTCTTCGAATTCGTGATAGAGGAGATGAAGGGCGCCGATCCAAGCTGGCGCCGGCGAATATCCGTTGATCGTCATCACGACGCCGCCTGTTTCCGCCCGGTTGCACCAGGGGGAGAATCGCACTGCCAGTGAGATAATACTTATCTGACAGGCTGCGACGATGCCATGTCCATGACATGCGAGAGGGGCGACTCCCGTTTGGACAAAGTGTCAATCTTATCAGCCAATATTGAGAACAATCACGACGCAAAACAATTGCTAGATGATTTGAGAGATGCAACGAGCATGGTTGGCATATTACATGGAACGATGCGAATCTATGGTGCAAGTAGCGAAGTACGTGCGGATACATGAAGTACAAATACAGTGCGATGGAACATATGATAGGATGAGGGGAATGACGCTCGAGTCCAGGAGAGTAATATACACAGAACTTGGGAGGGTCATAATGGAACGAGTGGACATGGATGCAAGTGGTAGGTGAGTGATGCTGGGGAAGATGAAGCATAGAAACTGTTAGACATGAGTTGAAAGAGTGGATGGAAGACGAGAAGTCGTAAACGTATGTTGTTGTTGAAGTCAAGAAAGAATCGATGGGGGTGGGGTAGGACCGAGGTGAGGTTGTGATCAACACAGTCCAATGGAATAATAACGGCGAGTGAATTGCCCCGGGGTATTGTATGTCGTCCTTCGACTGCTTGGCCCACGAAGGAACCGCTTCCTCCCTTCTCCGTATCCAGAGCTGACGACCCCCTGCGATCTACGCGGTGCTGGTAGGGTCGGCACCATGGGGTGGGTGGGCGTCTCCGAGGAGTCAAAGCGCAACTGAATGCTTGGCTAGATCCGTCAAAGCGACGGGCGCATTACTTGAAGTTGCGCGACAGGTATCGTCGGAGGGTACCACCGCTCTTGGACGAGGTGCTAGGGCTGTTGCTCGTCGGTCCCGTGGCGGCGGAGGAGAATGCCGAGTACATGTTATGGTTTTGCCTGGGATCCGAGTAGTAATGCGCCATAGCGTTCGGTGAGGTAGCACCCGTGGGGAAGAGCCCGAAGCTGGGGGAGCGAGGAGGCGAGTTGTAGTCGACGTAGGAGGACATGGTGTGGGGCCGTGTGGATGAAATGGGAGGAGGGAGAATTGGAAGAGATGAGGAGAAGAGACCGAGGAATGAAAGTCGTAAAGGAGACAGTTGTTGGGTCAGGTGGGTCCTGGTTGTCGACTTTATAGGTGCGGGCGGCAGCTGGTAAGGTGAGGATGCCGGTTCAGGGATGTGTATGCGTCTGATGCGAATGCAAGAGTCGGGTTGACTGTTGAATAGAGCTTATTGTTCTCGAGGAAGGGCGATCGAGGGATTGACAGTGCTTTTTGTCAGGGTGACACAGTGCAGGTAGGAAGACCGCTGGTACTGATGTATCGAGCAAGTTGCTATCAGAACGAGCGCAGAAAGTCGCCACTTATAAGAGCCCCCAGTTAGCAGTAACCATTCTCAGAGGTACAAGGGAGATTCCAAATCGGGAACAAGAAGCGAAGGTCAGGCGCATGGTGCTATCTTCCCAATTAGGAAGGCGTATCAGGAGGATTGATGGAAGTACCGTGACAGCCGCGATTGAGTGGTGGGTCCGACGCTGATCCGACGCTGTCTGCTACTTCGACTCACTCCTCCACCAAAGCAACGTTTCTGTGGACGGAATCGTCATCTTGACTCCATCTATTCTGGCTTGCACACTTTATAGATCACCTCGCCTTCTCAGAAGACCCTGCCACATCTCTCTTCTCTTTGCCAGAAATCAGTCTTCACTTCAGAACATGGCCACCCCCACCAAAGTCTACGCCGTTCACACTGGTCGCGTCCCAGGGATCTACATGAACTGGTCAATACCACCACGCTTGTGAACCGATTGAGTCTCATGTGTGATAAACAGGGATGACTGCCTGCATCAAGTCCAGAACTACCCGAAAGCCAGGTACAAGAAGTTCGATAGCGCAAACGACGCGCTCCTTTTCGTTCAAGCGCCAGCTACACCCACCAAGAGAGAGGCCGCCAGTAGCTACCGTAACCCTATTTCACCCAGTAAACCACCACCTCCTCCGATACCGCGAGCCATCGCCGCACCTTCGACATTACCGGCAGAGACCACAGCGGCTTCCTCGAGCATCTTGCAAGAGGACTTGATCGTGTACTGCGACGGCGCTTGTCCTAACAACGGCAATCCCGGTGCTATCGCAGGCGTTGGTGTCTGGTGGGGAGGCGGGGACTCACGGTAAGTTGGAGTCTCACCAGAGATAAGCTAACGCTAAATCGTCCATCTTAGGAATCTCAGCGAACGGTGTCCTGGTGAGCAGATCCCGCTGTGATGACGTTTTACCCCAGTATCTCACGAAACTCTTAGGTCCGCAGACAAATAACCGCGCTGAGCTCATTGTACGTCGTGATCTCCATCCCATCTCTGGACTGGATATTCTGACAATAGCGACATACAGGCTATCATCCGCGTCCTCGAAATCGCACCTGCAGCACGATCCCTCACCATCAAGACCGATTCCAAGTACTGCATTCAAAGTGCGTCCATTTCGACCATTGCTCTTCTGTAGATACTCACCCGTAAACCAGGCATCGTCGACTGGCTACCCAGATGGCGAACCAACGGCTTCAAACTCGCCAACGGCAAACCAGCCCAAAACCAACCTCTCATAAAATATCTCGACGCACTCATGCAAAATCGCCGAGCCAAGGGCCAACGAGTGGAGTTGTTTCATGTGAGAGGACATCAAGGGGAGACGGGTAATGAAGGGGCGGATTTTTTGGCGAATAGAGGGGTGCTGATGGCTGAGGAGAAGGATAGGGACTGGGAGCAGGCGAGGATGGCGGTGGAGCTGGGGTTTAGGCAACCTGAAGTAGTGGCTTCGCAGGTTTCTACTATCGCTGCGCCGAGATCGGAGGTTGCCTCGCAGGCGAAACCGGGAGCGGCGACGAGGTCTATTACCGTCAGTCAGCTCGTTATGGATGTGAGTACTACTCTGCCCAGTTTACCTGCTTCACTGCGTACTGACGCGGGCTGTGCTACTGCAGGACTACGACAGCATCGACATGAACGCCTTCTTTCAAGGCCCCACGCCACTCCCTACCCAAGCGCAAGCTCTAACGCAGCCCAGCCCTTCACAAATCCCAACGCAGCCTCACTCCTCAACGCAACCCCACTTCTCGCAAGTCACGCAACCCCATCGCAGCACGGTTACGCTTCCTCCGCCTCCCTCCCAAGTCACTTCTGCATTCACCACACCCCAACGAAAGCAGCCGGCGATGGCGATGGTGACGAGCCCCACGTCGGTCGATGTGCGCGATGTTAACGTCGATGTACGTCGTTGTGCCCTACTTGATTTTGGCTCGGATGATGCTGATCCCTCGTTTGTGCGTTGAAGGACTATGCTGATTGCGTGGATGATCTGGCGGTGGATAGTGAGGGGGAGTTCGCGTAGTTCTGCGGGAGTCTTATGGTCATTTGTCTATAGCGCTATGCCTTGTCGGAGCTATCCGGATCCCAATGAGAAGTCAATGTACTAGGGCTCCAACGGTATCTGTATCTATATGTGTATGCCCCACCTGGCATACGGTTTCTAATAGTATATATACAGTATATACGGACGACAACGCCATAATTTGCTGGCGACACATTAATCAACAGGTTCATTGCAGCTCAGTACCTACACTCACCACCTCTTCTTAGTACGTGTACCTCGCCCCCCTCTAGGTCATTCTCATGAGCCTGGGACTGATTTCAAGGTTATTTAGGTGTTAGACGACGAAGAGAACAATGGCGTTGTCCATCGAGAGGGTCTGCGCACTATGCGAGACATCATACGCCGCCGGCGAATTCTCCAACATTCCCCTTACCCCTGCCCCCTAGCTCTGCCGCATCTAGCGCGTTTACCACGCGTCTGGCACTCAGTACTACACTATCTATGCTCTATAAAACGATAGGAAAGATCGCGCAGTCCGTCGAATTGGTCTACGTGATATACAAGGCATGTTACTCCGGTGAGTGCATCCTCATCCCTCATACCCTTACCCCTCAACCTGACCGCCTCTGGGCCGTTTATCATGAACCTGGGACTGATGACCAGGTTATCCAGGTCGCATGAAATGATAGGGACAGCCGCGACGCTCGTCGAATTGGTCTACGCGTTACTTGAAGCAGGATTCTTCGGCGAGTCTCGCATACTCCTCATCTTCCTTCCCCCAAACTCGGCCGCCTCTGGGCCATTTTCCATGAGCCTGGGATTGACTCACAGGTTACTTAGGTCATAGCAACACGATTGTTTGCGCAGTTGGCATAGCTCGTAGACGCTCAACTCGAATCGAGGCTCGCGTGCACTTTCCCTGCTCGTTTAAAGCCACTGACTCCGTGTCCAGTTTAATCCTTCCGGTAAATTTGCGCATTCTCGGCGCTCTGAGGGCATTGTGTCCCTGCTACTACATAGCCTGCATTGGATTGTGCTAGACAGTGCTCCTACGCATAATCACACTCCTCCATGTATTATGCAAAAACAACTGTCTACATACAGTATTATACAGTATACATACTGTTTCCATCCGTATCTGTATCTGCATAGGTGCATCCGTACACAGATACGATATGGTTGGAGCCCTACAATGTACAACATGCACAATATTCGTCTGCTGCCAGTTCAGAAAGACTCAGCTCGGACTTGCGCTTGTCGCTCTGCAAGTTTTAATGCTCAGCAAATCTGACGAGAATGCCTCGGACGAGGTGAATGAAAACTGTCAACATGAAGCAAGGTGACAAAAACGGATGCGAACTCATGCATGGTTCAATTGGCGCTACCAGGGTTCGAACCTGGGTTACGGGAAGACACACATCAAAATCCCGAGTGATGACCACTACACTATAGCGCCAGTGAGCGATACTGTTCAAAGCTAAATGTAAAGCGTTTTCTGCATAACAGGCCAATAGAGTCTGTCACATGCCTCGTTCCGACATCCTCCTGCGAAATTTCCTCTCTGTCCCCTCCCCTCTCTACCGAGTCTCGGTATGAGCTTCTCCGTGCATTATCCCGGCCTGCGCTAACGAAAGACTTGTATCATCTAGGACTGCTATTTCCCCTCCTCTCCTTAATTCCCAAAATACGTAGAGATGGCATCTCCCACCGTTAGCGTGCGTCAGGTCGCTGCGCTCCCTCACACCAACGCTCACCGTTCTCCAACAGGTCGTCCGCTACACTGCTCTGGCCACTGGTGTTTTCTATGGCTGGTACCATCACCGCACACTGCAAGCCGCCCACGACAAGCACAAGATCGAGCAGACCGTTCACCACCGGGAGCACTTGATAGAAGAAGCGAAGGATGCATGGAGGAAGAGGCTGGTGGCTCCCCAGGCTGGAGGTGCGTTAACCCCCTTTCTGTTACGATGGGCTTCGTGTACTGACGACTTGCTCTTTCTCTCGCGCTTAGTCGTCACTGATCCAGAGGACCCTCGGTTCGACCTGGAGAAGTTAGTCGCCAAGTGGGAGCTCGAGAGCTAGAGGTTTTTTTCAGGCCGAGATACATGATGTGTTGCATATTATTTCCAGCTGCGCGCAGTCTATAGACATTTTGCTTTCACCGACCGCACTTGCAATACCGAATGAGAGCGCTTGAACATTCCTTTTCGCACCATCGGCCAACGCCCTGACCTATTTTGCTGGAAATCAAACATGAAGCTCCGGAGGTATAAAGTTCAACTCAGCAAGACTTGTACCCATGTTTAAATGTCTGCTCGACACTCAGCAACCCGTACAGAGTTCTTTGCTGACGACTGCTGAACTCTCCGCACCCTAGGCTTCCCATTTCTTCTGCAGCACAAATTCCCACCCTACGCGCTCGAAGAGAAGTCAATCTTCTGCGCCCAAGCTACGGACCTCGGCATCCCTTTACAAGGTCGTCTAAATTGCTTCTCGGTGCCCAGTTTATGCTCTTCCAAACCATCCACCCGTATCATGTGCTGAATTATCGCCTCTGCGCTCGTAGGGACCACCGTCTCGACCTCTGTCATTCCTTCAAGCCTATGAGACATCGTGCCCGCCTCTATCTCCTCGTCCTTGACGTCAGCTAGAATCTTCGTAAACCGCCCGAGTATCTCTCCCGGTAATCTTTTGTTGATTTCTGAATCTTCTTTCCCGTCAGTCAACGACAGCGTATCCCGACAAACACAGGATCATGAAAGAACCGACTCACCTTCCTTCGAAGACTTCATCAACCCTGTAATATGCACCGTCGGCTCCATGTACCGTGGTCTCTCCCCACCCATCGGCGGCCCAATCAACCCCCACACATGCTCCTCAAACGCGCTATCCGACAAAGACGCCTCGTACGCCGTCGTATGGTCCAATCGCGGTAGGGGCGAGTAGCTTGCTCTCTCTGAGGAAGATAGTGACGCACGGTCGGCTGCGGCTTTCTTCAGCCTCTTTTGATTGGCTTTGGAGGGGGTCTCTGGGACGCCTGGTCGGGCGGCGTGGGCTTCGGGCTTGTAGGCGTATCGGAAGAGATGCGTGTGCTCGATGAGGTGGCGAGCTGCGGTGGTCGACATGGGTTTTCTCTTTCTTGCTTTGCGGGGGTGTGGTTCCCTGTGCCTTCGCGCTGGAGAGCTTTCTGCAAGGTGGTGGTGGTGGTGGTGGTGAGGATAGGGAGGGGTCGCAAACATGCCACTGAGCGCATCTTATGCATGCCCATGGTGACAATGGGCGTTGTGCAACACTTCCCATTGTTTCTCTCAGGGCTGCATCCACGCATGTAATAAGGTTGGCCGAAATTGGGGTTTTGTCCACTTTGGGAAAAAGGTCTTGCCATGAGGAGGGCTTGAGGCAGTCTTGTCGAAACTGTGTTTGACTCGCTTCTCATGGGTTTTGACGGTGTTTGACTCACGGATCTGTTCTCATAGTACCTCGTCGATGGCCGCTCATCAGACTCAATCTCCGAAACTCGTGTTGTATCCTATCTATTCATAGTCCTTCGGGGGGATGCAGCATCGTTACGTGTATGTCGTTACGTGTATGTCTTGCTTCTCTCCTCCACCAGCATCATGTCGTTGACTGGCCCCGCGTAGACAGGCTCCAACCCTTCACCCACTCTCCCGAAGGCTAGCTCTCAAGCCATACCCGCACTTCACACCAACTCGCTTCCTCTTCTGCCCTGTACCTGGCGCCGTCTTGGGTGGCGACGACTCGTCAGTGCTGACCTGCATCGCGTCGCCATCCGTCAAGGGCTCAGATAGCCCCTTCAACATTTGGAATGCGAACTCTTGCAGTTCGTCGAAGCTCATGTTTAGGAAATCTTGCGAGACGGGTCTGCCCTTGTCCTGCTGAGCCGTATCCTCTGTACTGAAGAAGGGTAAGCCTAGTTGGGTTTGAAGCGCGTTCGGATCCACCGACAAAAAGAAGTTGGAAATGAAGGCTCCCTGTTGCGCGACGTGGGAATGGCTGGGGAAGCGTGGTATCTGACTTTGCTCAGAGCTGAGCGAGTCTTCGTCTACGTCCATGACCATGCCCATTCCTTCGTCCGGCTGGATATCACCAGCGAAGAGCAATGTAGACCAGTGTTCGCGTCCTCGCAAGACCTCACCTGACACCCTTGATCAACAACCGTGACGACAAAGAGCAACGCCATTGCCACTCACCCTGGAACATGCTATCCATGCCCAACGTCCCCCTCTTCCCGCCGAAGCTCGCCAGCCCAAACTGGTCCCCGAGACCACCCTGGCCGTACGGGACATCGAGCCCTGCTTCGCCGAAGATGCCTAGCTTGAGAGCGGCGAAGGGTTCTTGACGGGACGGCCGCTCTGGAATGATGCCGAAGTCGTTCACAGCTGAGCTTCTACCCATAGCCAAGGCGTTCAGTGCTGGCGCAGCAGCGTTGTTGGGACAGACACCTTGGGCTGGGATGCCTTTGGGTAGGGATGCCCTTGTCGACTGACCGCGTGGGGATGGATGAGGTTGGAAGGGTTGAACATCGCTGACTGACTGACTGTTCTTTAAGAGGGAATGTAGAGCAATGTTTACGTTGGGTTATGGGTACGCTTTTGAAGTATGCAGAAAACACCTTTGCCTTGCAACATGCTGTCTTTGTGTTCTCTATGCTCTTTGTCAATCTTTGTTCTAGAGCTCGTGGGGGGTTGTGGGGTGGCGATGGATATGGTGTTCAAAATCCCGGCCAGCTGGACACACCTGGGTTGGTTGCGAATGATTGGGAAGGTTCAACGAGCTATGCTTTGGCAGAGCTCAGTGATATATTATCAGAGAAGCATCCGTGAAAAGTGCTTCGTCAGATAGCATCTCTCCAACGTCGAGGCTCTCATGGGCTGGGGAGCGGTCACGAGGGCGCGATATATTAACAGCGCATTCAGCTGTCCTCCCAGTTTCCACGCGTTCCTGGCCTCCTGATGGTCTGATCGTCGATCGTCGCTAATAGCAGGAGTCATCTGGGGTCGTTCTGACTACTCTCTTTTCTATTGGTATTCAGGGAACTTTACGTACGTACCACTGTCTCACAGTATAAGAATCCACCCGTCTCGAAAAAAGGAGAACCAAAATCGCATTGCAGACATCCTTCCCTCAAGTAACCATGTCCCAATCACTCTCTGAACCTCTTCACGTCCACTGCATGTGCAAAGCACTCTTTGCCACTGTCGTCGCTCCTCCCATGTTTAGTGGGTACTGTCACTGCACCCGTTGCCAGAGGCGTCAAGGTACGCCGCACCGCCCTTCGATCTTACAAGTGGCAGTTCCGATGCTCATCTGTACATACGTTTTCAGGCGCACCCGTCGGTCACTCTCCAATGTTTCCGATCCCAGCAGTCAAGTGGGACAACGCTACCAAGACGCTAGATACCGGCAATGTCGTCCCAGAAACCTACAAACTCGTTTCCGGGTGGGACACCAAGACGAACGCACCTAACACATCTGGCTCCGGTGCCATCGAGTGTGCCCAGTGTGGCGGTCGCGTCGGCGCGTATATTCCCCAGATGCAAGCGTACGGCCTCTTCTCTGCCAACTTTGAACGACACGACGCGTCGGATGGAGCGGAGAAGGAGGGAAAGATCAAGGGGTGGAATGTGCTCAAGCCTACGGCGCATTCTTTCTATGGCACGAGGGTGATCGATGTTAAGGATGGGCTGAAGAAGTATGAAGGGTTCGCGGGGTATTCAGCTGAGGTGGCGGAGTAGGGGCGTACCTGGGCCTGGCGGGGGTATCGGAGGCCCGAGATGCTGTGTTTAGTGTAGCTAACAGCCAAACGCTAGTGACTATGAATTCGAAATTGTGCGCTGCTTATGTTTCAGCGTGTACGATCTATGAGCCTGCGGACTGCATCCCGAAACTTGCTACTTACTCACAAGGAGCGCGCTACCGTCGGTAGAGAACTCCGACGGTATCGGGAGATCTATTCTGCATAAGTACCATTTAAGAGGGCGTGCCGTGGTTGTAAGTAGACTTTATTCCCAGACAACCATGTCCAAAACCCTCTCCGAACCACTTCGCGCTTACTGTCTCTGCAAAGGGCTATCACTTACCCTCACCGCACCGCCAATCCACCCCAGCTTCATGTGTCACTGCACCCTTTGCCAACGACGCGTCGGTAAGCGCTCTGCACAGACTTATTGTAATCTCCTCACATTGACGCTGACCTGCCCTTCATCTCATAGGTGCAGCATTCAGCAGTCTTTCCCTGTTCGCCCTGAAAGATATCAAGTGGGAAAACGCCACTCAGACCGCCCACGACAACTTCCCAGTCCCAGAAACATACAAATTCATCCCAGAATACGACCTCTCCACCGACGGACCCGTTTCCTCTGGTCTCGGCCAAATCGAGTGCACGCGGTGCGGCATGGGCTTCGCTGCGTGGGTGCCCAAGTACAATGCCATCGG